GAACTTTGTGAAGAAATTCTCAAGAATAGCCAGCATAATGCTGAAGATCAGAAAAATGCATCCAACTGGGATCTTAGTAAAAGAAATTTTGATTCTGAAAGAATAAATGACTTGATAAAAACACTTTGCAAAAACACCACGCTGACTTCATTGAATCTTCAATCTAATTATCTTAGATCAGAGGTCGGAAAAGCATTAGCAAATGTACTTTGCAAAAACACCACGCTAACTTCATTGAATCTTCAATCTAATAAACTTGGATCAGAGGTCGGAAAAGCATTAGCAGATGCACTTTGCAAAAACACCACGCTGACTTCATTGGATCTTTGGAACAATAATTTTGATACAATAACAAATGAAAGATTTAAAAAATTTAAAATACAAATAGAATTGTAAATAATAGTTGATGAAGTATATAAATTATAAAACGATAATGTTAAGACATTATCTGTTATGATAATGTGCAATGGTGTAATTTAGTAATTTTCCATACAGACAAGCCGTTTCACTTAAATATCAAGACTTCTATCACTAATATATATATATATACACGTATATATTTTTATTAGAGACAAAAAAACTTTTCAGTTACTTATTTTAAAAGTTGCTACTAATACTATTTAAATTGCAGTCTAATGAAGTTCAATTAGTATGTAATACTGGATTCCTTAAAAAGCTACCCAAGCAATTAATTTATATCAGTCTCTGCCTATGAATTCAGAAGTGATTCTCTCTAAAGTCAAATTTATTTACTGATACATAGTGTTGTATCGTTGGAATCAAAACCTGCAACATATGGGCGAAAATTGGAATTTTAGTGATTATTTAAATTAAATGATGAGGTTAAATAGAATCTAAGCTAATAAGATATAAAACATGGTATGATTACTGAGATTAAAAGTGATGATTTGATCAGTGAACATAAAATTGCTTATGAGTTGCTTATGACTTTTTATATCCCAATTATGAGTAGTGCTTCGAAAAGATTAACTAGAATACTTCCAAAATTAACCTGAACCAGATCAATTTCGGATCATTTGAGCTAATCTGCTTATGAGTATTTATGAGTCACTTTGTTATCACCTAAATTTCATTAATCCAACTAAAAATTTCCGTATATATGAATAGTATTCTTGATAAAATTGCCAACATTATCCATAATGTTGGCTAATATCATCGGAATTATATCTGCTTCGGAAAATAACCGTACTGGAATCCCTAAACTCGTAAATTTTCATAGTAATTCTACAAATAACTCATTACTTTGCATTTACTTTAAATCATAGATCTGGTTTTCTTGTTTTGCGCAGCTACCTTATTGCACAATTGACATTGATTATAAACACATATCAAGTGAAAAAATAACATCAATTGTTAGATCTTGCTAGATTTTTCTATTGTTATCAGTATTGGTTGGTGGTTGTGTATATAAGATCTGGGTTTGAGACCCAAAATTTGGGTTTGAGACCCAAGATCAGATTGATAGTCACTGTATATATAGAATGCTTAAAATAATAAAGTAAATAACGGATAACATCTTTTGGCTCATTAATAATAAAACAAATCTGTTCTCTCCCTTACAATAAATAAATTCTTATAATCGCTCTCTCATAATAAATAACACCTTTCTGTTCTCCCATAATAATAAATTTTGTAAGTACCATATAATGAATGGCGAATCATTCGTCATTGACGTCTGACGTAACCATTCGCCAAGCAATTTCTGATTGACGAATTGACGAAACTTATGCGATTGACGAAACTTATGACGATTGATAAAGCATAAGACAATTATTCTTTTTTTTCATTAAAGTAATAAATTAGTCGATGCGGAATTAAATATTTATGTTTGTATTATCATATCCACCTATTTTCCGTTTATTTTATTTTTTTTATGACACACATACCCGATATTACCCGAAGAAGACATTAATCACCCCGAGGCATCTGACAAGTCTGACTAAGAAAACTACTGATATTAAAAAATATATTTTACCGGTAACGGCTTTAAATTCCACGTAATATAGACCTAAAAATTAACATCCGTATAGCTTATTAATATTTGCATAGCAATTTTTTATTTACAACAACTGATGATTGGAAAAAAAAAGTTCATTAAATTATCGTTTTCATATGAACTGGTGGAACTTTGTAATGAATAACGGTAATTTGAAAAAAAAAAACCTAAGATCCAGCATATCCAGAGGTGGCTATAAAGAAGCTCGTTGAAAAATATTTAATATATTTTGATATTTCATTGGTCAAATTGATTCGTCAAGGGTTTCGTCAATCGCAAAGAGTTTCATCAATCGTCAACGTTTCGTCTAACGTCGCATCTGACGAAATGTTTCGTCATCGTAAAAATAGTTTCATCAGGAATCATTAGTACCATAATATATAACATTCGTAAACTTAACTTTATGTTTACGACTCTGAATTAAATTTGTGCCGTATGATCGATAGCTCTCCCCAGTTCGTAACATCGCCCAAGATTTTTTAGTGCCGACTAGGGATGGCCACGGTCGGTCATTTTCGGTTAGCCGTTTTGTAGCCGTTAGTTGTATCTTGCGATCCAGTACTCCAAATTGGATAATTTTAGTACATCCAATTTGGATCACTGGATCATGAGATAGCCGCGGCTTAGCCGGTCGGCTAAACCGAAAATGACCGACCGTTGCCATCCCTAGTGCTGACCCCCGGGCTGTGATTCTTTCACCGGCCCATATCTCAAAATTTTAGAGGACTATCATTTGATCGGTTGTTAAAATAAGCATATTTTTTTTTTGACTTTTAGCCAACATTCTCTAAGAGCATATACTATAATTGTAGCATATAAAACTAATTTCAAGTTCTTTTTCTTTAAGATAGTATTATGTTTTGCTAAGTCACCATTCTAATTTACTGCAAAATTATTTATTTATTTATTTTTGTATTTGGTACAGTATTTTAGTTTATTTTAGGCTTTCTCTATAATAACAAACTGGCTTTTCATTTATCTGGTTATTGTTGTATTCTAAGCTTCTTTACATCAACGATTTTTTTAAAAATTTAAAAAATAATTTTAACGATGAAGAAAACTTTTAACTTTACGATTTAAACTACCAAAGCAAATATTGTGGTTAGACTGCGAAGTAATAATGGAGTAAATGATGATTGGGATTGGGTAAGTGAATTTATTTAGCCTTCATTTGTATTTTTATCATAATAATTAACATTTTTATTGTCATATGGATCATTATCTTCGTTATTATTTACTTAATTAACTTCAGCATCACTTTCATTAATTTCTTTATTGGCTTCGTTATTATCATAATTATTGGATTCTTATCAGCTTCGTTATATCGTTATTCTTATAAATATAAAATGAATTGAATCATCATAATTATAATTACTAGATTAGTAGAATTATTCTATTCATAATATTATTTAGATTCATTAGATTTTACAAAAATATATAAAGCATATATTTGTAAAGCTCAGTTTTTCATCTTATACTCGTGCCAAATAATGTTTCTTTTGAGAACTGTAGTAAAGGTTACACAAATTTAGATACTGTCATGCTATTCTTTGTTAGTTAAAGTTTTAGTCGTCAAATACTGAAAAAAGATGAATAAAACACCCATCAGTTATAATTAAATCTAGTCAAATGATCTGCAAATTATAACTTACATCTGATCTCTAAATCCGATTGGCTGATTTTACCCCGGTCGTCATATTGCAGATCATTTACCAGATTTAAAATTGTTTTGTTCTAAATCTGGCCAAATGATCTGCAAACTTGACCAGAATTATGAACGATAAGTTAGGGTGTCACTTCAACTAATAAAATAAAATATTAGTTAGGGTAATATATGAAGATCATTAATTTCGGATTTATTAATAGCTGTATTTGAATTAGATAAATTTGTGATAAATTCTAAAATGTCACAAAATTAATATGAAAACTCGATTTTTTAAATGGTTCTGACTTTTAAATAAAATAATCGATTTATATAATTAAAAATTTTAATTCTATAAAAAAAATAAATTATCGAACTAAATTTACATTTTTTAGCACTAATTTCTTACAAAAGTATATCGAATTTTTTTTTTAATTTGATGCTTTAAACAAGCTAAACATGGTAATAGAGCTATTTTTTTTAGATAGTTTATTAAATAATTAAAATTTTAATGATTATAGTATATTAGTTATTTATTTAATTTTTATAAAAGTTTTTTTAACAAATTATTAAAAAAACAGCTCTATTACCGTATTAAGCTAGATTAGAGCTTCAAGTTAAAAAAAAATTTGATATATTTTTGTTAGAAATTAGTGCTAAAGAATGTAAATTTAATTTATTATTTAAATAAATAGTCTATAAAAAAATTCAAAATTAATGTTCTTCATATGTTACTCTAACTAATATTTGATTTTATTAGTTGAGATAACACCCTAATGATAAGTTTTTAGATAATTCAGACCTTGCAGACCTGCTAATATTATTGCATATTGAATTATGCAATGATTATTATTTTTATTAACTAGAAAATTAAAAATTTGGCATCAGCTAACCAGTAAGAAGATATGTTTTGGTTCTAAACTGATACTAGTCTAGAGCTATATCATATAAAAAGTTAAATCTACAAATAATCAACACTATATCAATACTAATCTAATAATCAACTCTAAGTTAGTAGATTGAAAGATAGCATGAAGGATTTGGTTCAGGTTTTATAGATCTTGTAGATTATTCTAAAGTTTAGTCTATTACTTTAAAATAGATATTTTATTATTCTTAGTTCTTATACTTTTAGAATAATTTCATGATATATGATTCAGATTTTATTTTAATTGGTTATTAATTTAACAATAAAGATTCTGAGTTTATTAATAAAACTATATACAGAATAATTACTTATTATTTAAATTAATTAGAATTTAATTATATAAGAGAGAGTAATTGAGAATAAGCAAATTTGGTAGTTTGGAAATTAATTATCAATTTTTCAATTGTCTCAAACTTCAGATAATTTTATTGAAGGTAAAAAGGCATTACTTTTATATTTTAAGCAATATTTATAAATACATATTAAATATTTAATATATCTAATTTATCTAATATATCATATATTTCTTTTATCCTATATCTGATATACCTTTTGTCTAATATATCATATTTTATATCTAATATTTTTTACTAAATATAGGGAAGGATTAATTATATAGGTTTGTACTATTTACAAATTAATTAAAAATCTACAACATTGTACTATTTTAAAGTACAGTATTTCTGAAGAGTCAAAATTGACCTTTATAAACTTCTATGCTTAATTTATATATACTATATATAAAATTTTAAGACTTATCAAAGAATATATCTTGATATTATACTGAGGCTTCACTGAAACTTATTCAAATAAGTAATATAAATGTTTCTTTTCTTCTTTCTATTTATATTTAGTAGTTATATTTTGATATCTAACTAGAACTTTATGGAGACTTATTTGGTATTTAATATAAATATATCCTTTACTTCTTTTTGTTCAAATTTATTTATTATTTTTTTTATTTTCTCTATTTTAAACTTCTTAAATATCCTTGCACAATATTTACTAATCTTGCATCTTATAGGTATTTCTTTTAAATTTTCTTTATTGCAGTCTAAGAATCTTAAGAATCTTTATTATAGATTCTTAAAAAGTAGATCTATTTGATAAAATACCAAGATATCAGAACCTAGACTAGATTATGTTCTTCAAATTTGGAGTATTAAAATATATTCTTTGCTAATAGATAAGTAGATTTTTTCTGTTATTATTATTAATTTTTCTTTTTAAAATTTTTTTAAAACTTCTTTCAGTTTTAATCTCTTAGTAGCACTTCTTCAGAGTTCAAAGCCTTGTCAGAATCTTTATTTGCCTTTTATTTTAAATAAATATCTTTATTATTAATATTGGATATACCTTATTTCACTAATACTTATTTTATAAATACAATATTTTACTAACAATTAATTTACTGATATGTTTGTTTTATAGACAACCAATTCTTAGATAAGCTTATTTCATAAATAACTCATTTCATATACAGCTCATTTTACTAACAAGTTAATTCTTCTAACTCTAATCTAACTCTAACTCTAATTCTAATGGTAATAATATCAGTGAAATGAGCTATCAGTGAAATAAGTTGTCTACAAAATAAGCTTATCTAGAGATTAATTATTTGTGATACAAACATGTTGGCGAATTGATTATTAGTAAAATATTGTGTCTACAAAATAAGTGTCAATAAAATTAGCTGAACTAATTAATATTTATACCTTGCTAATTAATATTAACTAATCTTTCTAATAGATTAATTTTAGCAATTTTGCTAAAAAAATTTTCTAATAATTCTTTTGATCTAAATAAGTATGATATTCTATTGTTTTCTTCATAATTTAACTATTTGATTATCTATAAAAAGTTAAATATAATACAAAGGCCTATTATAGTTATCTTTTTGTTTTTGTTTTTCTTTTTAGGTTGACTACAATTTTCAGATATATCAATCTGGTATAGAACTTTTTTGTATTGAAGTCTTGTGTATTTAGTTTTTTTGAGAATAAAATGTTATTAGTAATAATTGCATAATTGTAAGTTGTAATAAAACTGAGTTTCTCTATTAAAAATATATTCTTTTTCTGTTCTAGCATATTAATACTTTTTTTTTCTTTCTTTTAACCTTAGACTCTTCAATGATTTTAGTAATAGAAAACTCTTTTTACTAGATCTTTAATAAATAATTTTTATTCTTATTATAGCTTTCTTAAACTAGCTTTAGTATCTGAATTAAAGAGTTTTTGTAATAGTACTATTAGCTAGTTAGATCTATTCAGATATAGAGTAGGAGGTATATTATTTGTTCTCCTCTACTTTGATATTCTAGTATTATTTTTATACTAATTTGTCTTTCTTTATTAGGTTAAGTCATATTTCTCTTACAATTAGACTTTAGGATACTATAATTAGATTTATAAAATTTATTTTAGTAAATTTGAATTAACTCTTTTATTTGTACTTCTAATAACTAGTTAAGCTATAAATTATATATTTAACTTCTATATTTCTTTTTTTAGATTGAGTTTGTTATTTGATATTAAGACCTAATATTTTTGTGATAGTAGAGTCTTTTTATTAATCTGTTTGCTTTTATAATATATACTAATATTTTCTTTTATATTGTAGACCTCAAAGCTATTAGTATAAAAAAGATTTTAACAGGAGTTCTTCTTTTAAACTTGAGTAAATCTATAGAAACATAGAGTATTATAATTTTTTTAGCATTTATTTTTATTTTTTCTAACTCTTATATGATTTTTTTTTTTTTAACTTAGGCAATCTTGTCCTTCATTTATTAAGAAAAAATATAATAAAATATTATTATAGTAACATAACCTAATTTAATCTAGTTACCAAACTACCTTCTTTGTTTAATTTTGAACTCACTTAGCTACCTTAGGTGCCCAAGTGTGACCTGCTACAAAAGTAGATTTTCCTCTTAAAAGAGTAGTTTACCTAAGCAAATACCTACTCTAATAGTCTACAAAAAGCTTCTTTGTATCTGCATCAAGATTCCTTAGTTATTTTTAAAGCTTAGCTAGCTTTCTTTTAGTCCTTCTTCAATCTATGACCTGATTTTAGTTTCAGCTATGCATTG